GCGCAAGGCTTCTGCATGGGCCCCCTCTTGTTCACCAAGGAGGAGACGGGTCTTATTGACACGGTCGAGCTTCCACTGGACATCTTGGTGGGCCAATCGTTCAGCCTGAGTTGCTGCTTCAACTTGACGGGCGAGCTCCGTCTGCTGCTGGGGCGCCAACCTGTCAAGCTCCAGCGCGCTGTACTCGACGATCTGCTGGGGCTTGGGCACCGCGGCCTGCGCCACCCCGAGCAAGGCGGGGAACTGCTCTGTCCACATCTGCAGCTGCGCCACCAGCTCTGCGGGCATGGCGATCGGCTGACCTGGCACTTGCCCGCCGCCAGCGGGGGGAGTGCCCTGAATTGCAGCCCATGTTGCGGTATTTGCTTCCTTCTTTTGAGCCTGATATGCCCGTTGCACTTGCTGCACTTCGAGTGTCCCCACGAAGCGTACTCCCAGTGGTTGCAAAGGGAGCACACGTTGTAGGAACGCCTATGATTCCGTTGTCCACTGGCATGGTCCTGCTGCCAGCTCCACCTCGTGCGTTCACGCCAGGGTGCACTCCTGCGCCACGCCATCGGGCTCGGGGGAGAGCTGCCGTGATGTGCCTGCAGCAGAAACAGGTCGCGCTCACGGCGCAGGCGTCTCCGCGCCGAGGCCCTCGCGCGTCGCAGCCGACGGTGCCACGCGGGCGAGACAGATCGCGCGCGCGCGCCCGTCCCTGACGCGCCCCGCGGGGCTGCGGTCGTGGTCTGTCGGGCCGCTAGCCCAAAATGGGGCGCTTGGGACCACAACACCTGCGCTCCCAATGGTTGACGCTCCGCGCACCCCGGAAGAAGACCAACTTGCACAAGCATAGACTTCCGCAGCTCCGCGCGGACTCCTTGGCTCTGCGCCGGCCCCTCCCTCCGGCGGCGCTCGCGCGCCAGGGATTGGGGGGTCCCTGCGGAGATTCAAGACATCTGCGCGTACTGTCGAAAGTTTATGTGTAGTTGTCGGCGGCGAGCGAGGGGGGGAATCGAGAAGGAGAAGGCCTCCTCAGAAGGCGGCGGGACTTCTGAGGAGCCCCCGCGCCCGCCGAGGAGCTGTTCCCGCCTTCGGGGAAAGCGCCGAGGGAGCTTCTCAGAAGGCCCGGGGACTTCCGAGCCTTTCGAGAAGGCCTCCCCCTCCTCCTCCGCCCTCCTCCTCCTCCTCCTCCTCCTCCTCCTCCTCCTCCGCCCTCCTCCGCCCTCCTCCGCCCTCCTCCTCCCCCTCCTCCTCCTCCTCCTCCTCCTCCTCCGCCCTCCTCCTCCTCCTCCGCCCTCCTCCGCCCTCCTCCTCCCCCTCCTCCTCCACCCTCCTCCTCCCCCTCCTCCTCTCCCTCCTCCTCCTCCTCCTCCTCCTCCTCCTCCCCTCCTCCTCCTCCTCCTCCTCCTCCTCCCCCTCCTCCTCCTCCTCCTCCTCCTCCTCCTCCTCCCCCTCCTCCGCCCTCCTCCCTCCTCCTCCTCCCTCCTCCTCTCACTGCCCCCCCCCCCCCTCGCCCGCCGCCGAGTGCACGCCGCGGCCTCGCCCCCCTGCGCCCGCGCCGAGCAGGCGCCTCGGGGAGCTGCCCCCTTCCTCGGGCGCGGGCGCGGGCGCGGGCGCGGTGCGGACGCCTCAGGAGGAGGAGGAGGAGGAGGAGGAGGAGGAGGAGGAGGAGGAGGAGGGGGAGGAGGAGGAGGAGGAGGAGCGAGGAGGAGCAAGGAGGAGGAGGAGGAGGAGGAGGAGGAGGAGGAGGGGGAGGAGGAGGAGGAGGGGGAGGAGGAGGAGGAGGAGGAGGAGGAGGAGGAGGAGGAGCGAGGAGGAGCGAGAAGGAGGAGGAGGAGGAGGAGGAGGAGGAGGAGGAGGGGGGCCTCTCGGCTTCGGTGCCGTTCTTTGCTGTCTCGGCCCCCGCGCTGCGAAACGATCACGACGGGAGGCCTTTCGCTGACGGAAGGTTTTTCGCTATTTTCGGCCTCCCGGGGCCCTTCCCGGGCCTCGGGACCGTCAAACAGCGATTCGGGATGAAAAGCCGGTCCCGGGGAGAGGGTCCAGAGCACTGGGGGTCGACGTTGTTCAGTACCGTTTATCCGACCCCCCGTCCCCATCCCCATCCCCTTCGAGACCCCAACCAAATTACCCCCCCCAGTTGGGGATGCACCCCTCGAAGCCCGAAAGGGAACGACCTACATCCTAATCTGGGGGGGGGGGGGGGGGGGGGGGGCAAATCGGCCGGTGGGGCCCAGGCCACGCCCGCGGGGATAGGGATCGGATGAACGATGCTCATGGATGCTTTTCGGAGTCGCTTGGGGCGTTTCCTGGGGGGGGAGGGGGGGGGGGGCGCTCCTGGTTAGGGCGTCTTGGGGGCCTTTGGGGGGAAGGGGGGGGGCGCTGGGGGCCTCCTGTGGCGTTTGGCGGGAGCTTCTTGGGGGCTTCGTGGGGGCCTCCGAGGGCCTCCTTGGGGCCCTCTTGGGAGCCGTGGAGGCGTTCCTGGAGGACATCGAGGGGGGGGTCCTTGATTAGCGCTGCCCCCCGAGAGCCCCTTAAGATCGTTTCCTGGGGCTTTGTTCGAGCGCTCTTGTGCGCTCTTGGAGCAGTCTTGGAGCCATCTTGGGTCCTTCTTGGGTCTCTCTTGGGACCTCTTGGAGCCATCTTGAGGCCTCGGAAGGCCATCAGAAGCGAACGCTCAAGAAGTCCAACATCATGGGTTTTCTGTTGGTTTTGTTTGGGACGTGGCCTCTTGGGGGCGTCCTGGGGAGCCCCTAAGGCCCTAAAGGCCACTTGAACCCGTCCTGGAGCGGTCTTCAAACCTCCTAGAGTATGTGGGAAGCCATGTTGAGCGATCCTGCGCTATGTTGAGTCATCTTGGGGGCCGTCTTGGGGACCTGGGAGCCCCCTCGGAGCCATCTTGGGTCATCTTGGGCCCCTCTGACAGCTCGCGGGGCGCCCCGTCCAGACCCAGGTGGGAGGGGGAGGAGCAAACCCCCTCGCGAAGAGGAAGAGGGCGGTTGGAAGAGAAGACGCTCTAAACCACCTGCGCCCTACTAATGTCTGGTGGGATGCGGGGGCGTTCGCTAGGGAATGTGCCCAGGATGCTGCAGATCCGGGGAGTTCCCTTACTATCTGATGAGGGTGGTGGTGGTGGTATCGATGACCGATCCACGGCTTGTGTTCCACCAGCCTCTAGACCCTGGATTCCTTATCTAAGGTCTATCCTCTCCCCTATCCCCCCCCATACAGTTCCACAGCATGAATGCTCTCATCCTCTCCCCTGATGGCGTCCGGAAGATGTCCGGCCCCATTCCGCGTACTGTTTTTTGCACCGGATTCCCGGGAGTTCGGTTTTCGCTTGTTTTTGTTTTAAATGTTGTTCCCGCCGAAGCGCTGGCCTCGGGCTCCTGCTCGTTCCGAATCGTGCTGCCGCTGTGGCGCTGGCCTTTCTTCCAGATAAACCCCACCATCTAGTAAATGGCTCCCCGAAAAGACCATCCGACGTGATTGCACATTCGTTGCCGACTCGTTTATTTTTTGGCCGCACAGGCCCCCCCCCCACTTTGGGGCGTCGTCGTTTTCAGGAAGTATCAAGCGGGAGCCCCGTTTCTGTTCTGAGGAAACGATGCTAAAGAAGCAGAGCCAGTTGGTGCCCTCCGTCCGCCCCGCCCTGCGTGGAGCTTTTCGGGGAGCCCAGGGAGCTAGACATGGAGCAACGATTCCAGACTGGCCCAGGACGTCCTCCTCCTCCTCCTCCTCCTCCTCCTCCTCCTCCTCCTCCTCCTCCTCCTCCTCCTCCTCCTCCTCCTCCCTCCTCCCTCCTCCTCCTCCTCCTCCTCCTCTCCTCCTCCTCCTCCTCCTCCTCCTCCTCCTCCTCCCCCCTTTCTCCTCCATCCCCACAAGCTCACCCAGCGGTGCGGACACCGCACGGAACCTGGTGCCATGCTATTCAATGCCCTGCGGTGTTGTGGTCTGCGCCGCTGCGCGATGCCACGCTTTGCGTTGCAACGCTTTGGGATGCAATTCCTCACTGCGCAAGTCCTTGGCATGCTATGGCATGCTACGCTTTGCCGTGCTGTACTACGCCATGCCATGCCGTGCTTTACCATGCATTGCGCACCCTCTCGCGATCATTGCCCTGATCGACATCCGACTGTGCGAATAGAGAGGATATCTACGCCATGGTTATGGGTGGGAGGGCGGGGTGAGACTTCAGACACGACGCGAGCGCACCTAGCTTGCCCCATAGACCCTTCCCCCACCCCTTCCCTCCTCTTCCCAATATCCCGTGCACTTACCCCCCCCCTCTTATCCCCTTTCCTGTCCCTTCCCCCCCTTCCCCTTATCCCCCCTTATCGTATCCCCCCCCCCTATCCTCTCCCGCACCCCTTCCCCTCATCGCCTTCCGCCCTCCTCCTCTGCCACCCCTGCATTCCCCTCTCCGCGCTCCTCCTGCACATGCCGTTATTCCGCCTCTTCCTCCTCCTCCTCCTCCTCCTCCTCTTCCTCCTCCCCTGCCGTAGCCACTTTGGCTCGGTATGATCTATCCCCCTGGGATCCCAATGTCTACCGCTACTGCGCGGCCAGCTTTCGTACATTTACGCCCCATGCCGGAGACTCCGTCGACTGCGCGCCCAGCGCAGCGGTCGGCACTCCCACCAAGGCTGCTGCCGTACCTTGCGGGGGCTGGTCCATGCAAGATGGAGCTCGCAAGACCAAGCAGGTTGTGGGCCCCAACAAGAAGAATACTCATAATAAGAAGACACAAACAAAAAACGATGGCTGGTGTTCCTGGTGCTGGTGTTCTCCACGGTAGTGGCGAGGACGCAAAAAAATCCCGCTTTGGTAGAGGTGATGGCATCGACGGCGACGGATCCGAGGACGTGTGCAGGAGACTTGGTACGATGACCACGTGCGCGAGCTCGTCCGCATCGAGGTCCGCGAATCCTTCGGCCAGTTCAAATAAGAGTGCGAGCTCGCTTTCGCCTGCACGGCAGTGGCGGCCACATAAGCGGCGGTGGTTCCCATCGACGATGCCCTCAAGCGGCTCACGGACTCGATCAAAGCGGCTTCTGGAGAGGCAGCAGAAGCAGCAGCAACAGGACTTGTCACGTGTCAAGCCCACGCCTGGCAATCTCGAGAAACGCATCCAAGGTCAGCTCGACCGGCTCAATACCAAACACAGCGAGCACGACAGTAAGCCCAAGCAGCTTAGCACTCTCCAGCAGCAGTTGGAGCAGCTCCGCAGGGACCTGGCCCTCGCCGGCCGCGCCCCGCAGCGCCCCAAGCCGACAGACAGGAGCTTCAAAGGGACGTCGCCCAACCATCCTCAAGGGTACAGCGTCGACGTTCGTCACGCGAGGCGCCGCCGCCTACTCGCTCGACTCCTGGCCTAAGAAGACCGACCTGGTCGACGCGTACCGCATCGAAGGAGAACCGCAGTCGAAGCTCGTCGTGGTCCAGTTCGCAGGTGCTGCTGGCATCGCCGCTCGGCGTGTCCACTAGACGCTCGGCGCGCTCAAAACCGAGGACGCGTGGGCGCGATTCCAAGGGCCATCCACCTAGCCCAACATCGGCCCAGACAAGTCGCCTTGCCTAATACGCACAAAGATCCAGGCGAGCGGGTGCTGGCGACCCTCCGCGAGGCGTCTCGAACCAGGAAGCTCTTCTTGGATCGAGGCAGCGGGTGGGTCTCCGAGGGGTGGGCGCCATTGTCCGCTTCCAGCCACGTCCAGGGCGCGAGCCCGCCACCGCCTTCTGGAACTCCAAGAATCTGGGCGCGAAAGGGCGCATGCGTGACCAGATCTGCGACCTCATCCACCCTGTCGTGTACCCAGACGCCCAATCAGAGTGGAGCCTTTTGACAGATTCCTCCTGCTGCAGCACGTGGTATGCTTAGATTCGACTGCGACAGCCACTACCAGGAAAGACATCTCGCTCGAGACCTGGAACGCTCGCCCGCTGCTGCGTTGGAGGGGGGGCGGCGCGCGAGAACGCTGATCTTCCACGACAGACCTTCGCCCCTCTTCAAGAGGCCCGCCAGGGCAAGCAGCATCTCGAGGCTTTCGTGGCAAGGATTGCTCCGCGCTCGAAAGTATTCGGTTCCTTCTTCGACCGGGCGGATGGGCGCCAGGAGGGCGCGTCGCCGCGGTCGCGGCGCTCTCCGAAGCTGCTGCCAGCTCGGCAAGAGCCGCGATGTGCGCCAAGGGCCGCGCGCTGAACATCTGCGTCGAAGTGGGGGGCGCAGAGTTCCGCCGCCACAACGTTCGCGCCCGCGACATTTCCCTGCGCCAGATCCGCGCCATCATGGGGAACCTGGCCATCGACGTCGCGCGGGCGCAAGCGGCACCCTGCAGGAGGCCGCTCATCATCGCAGGCGACATGATCTTCGCGGCCTTCACCCACCTCGATCTCCGCCAGCCAACCCGACCCATTTCTGCAAGGACACGGGGAACCTGTCAAGTTTCGACAGGATCTGGACGGAGGGCGCGGCGGTGCGAGCTGACCTGCCCGGCGGAGACCTGCAGCAGGCAGTCTACGCCGCGACGCTGGGGGAGATTGTCAAACACGAGGCGCGCGCGCTCGCGAAGAGCCCCCCCCATCAAGCTACTGCGAACCGAGGAGTCGATGGTCGAGGCAGCCTCGCGGGCGATGAAGAAGATGCTCGTGGCCGAGGTTGGCGACGTGATTTCTTCGTTCGTCCTTGACAGGCCGCGCGGGCGGTCTGGCGCAGCAATGTCAGGCTGGCCCGGCGCATCATCGGCGCATCGTCGGAAGCTGCCGCTCGCCTGGCGGCGGCCAGCGGCGCGGTTGTCATCGCCCGCCCTGAGCTGTTCCACGGATTGACCGACCGGGTCCATTTCCACGCCGCCGAGAACGACACTTCCGCGAGCCAGGTCGAGACCACCAGAGCACGCAGGAAGAAAATATTTGAAGAACGCATGGCAGCCGTTGAGAGGCAGGCGCATTAATGGGTGCCCTTCGGCAAGAGGGTGTTCTCGAGAGGACTCCGCGTAGGCGGGCGCGCCCGGCTCCGCCAACGCGACCCGCCCCAGGCCCTCGCGCGATACTGGGCGCCGATACTCACCAAGTGCGACATGGACCACGAGGCAGCACGGCGCTGCGTCAGCCAGCACTCGAGCGCCGGCGTCGACTCTGAGTTCCCACCACCGAACGCCGAACGCATGGCCAAGACGGTCCGCCGCATGGCCGCAGCACATTCTGCCCCTGGCGCTGATGGGCCACCCCGCCACGCCCAGACTGCCATCCTTCAATGCTCGGAGGCCCCGTGGGAGTCGGCGCTCTGGCTTACGAGTGGTCAGCGCCCCCCCCGATGCTCGGGCGACACTAAGCAAGTATTATCACCGAAAGGCGGGCGCGCCGACGACCGCCCCGACGGCGGCGCCGCGCGAGGCCCGGGCGAAGTGCTCGCGCTCGAGCTTCGCAACGTTGACGTGGAGCTCATCGCGGCACTGCTCAACTCGGCCATCGCCCCCCCCGTCGAAGACCGTGCCCCTGCCTCGCAGAGGGGCTTCGTTCCTGGCCGGCGATTCACGGGTAACGTTCTGGAGCCGGGCGTGGAGGCCCGCGTCGCGAGCTTCTCGCGCGGCGCGCATGACACGCGCCCCCCTCTGATCGCATTGGGCTTTGGCCAGGCCTTCCCGGGCCTCTCGCAAGAGTTTCTCACGGTCCGTCTCGAGGAGCCTGCAGTGCCCACAGAGTTAGTTCCCTGCAGCAGTGCGCAGCCTGTGCTCCTCCGCCGCGGCCGCGGCCGCTGCGGGCGGGGCGCCGATTAATTTTTCCACGATCGCTGGAGGTGCCATCCAGGGCAGCGCGCTCACAGGGCCCCTGCGCGCTTGCCGCCGCCCCGCCGTCGTCTCCCTGATGGCCCACTTCGAGACCGTCGCGCCGGGCATTTTCAGGGCCTGCGCAGACGACATCGGCGGGGCCCTCATCTCCCTCGGCAGCCCGTCGAAGCCCCGGGCGACGATGGGCGTGGCGGCCAAGCGCGCCACGCTGCACTGGAAGACGGCCAAATGCAAATTCACCCCCCTCGATGGGGCCATTCGACTACCGGCGAGAGGCGAAGGTCAGCGACGCCATGCAGCAGACGACGCCTGCGTGGAAGGACTTCGCGGTCGTCGGCAATCCACTTTATCTTGGCTTCGAGCTGGGCCCGCTTGCCGACCTCGCCCTCGGCTGGGGGGCGCCGCGGCAGAAGTTCAAGTGCCCCGCGACGGCGCCGGCAGCAACGGCCGCGCCCACGAGCGCAGACGCATGGCATACAACGCCCACGCGACGCCCAGCTCGCGCCGCCGCCCGCCCGCTTCGCCACCGAGGAGTTTCACCAACTAGTCGAGATATGCAGGCGCCCGGGGGGGGGGGGCATCCGGGCCGGTCGACCACTGATTTCTTCGCGAGCGGGGAGGGCCGAAGCCATTCCCCGCGCGATGCATGGCCCGAGCGGCTCTCATCCGCTCCGCGCTGATCACCCGCCCGTGAGCGGCAGAATTCTTGAATCGCCTCGTCTCGGCGGCCAACAAGTGAATGGACGAGCGTGTATTTGCTGATATTCCATCCTTTCCTGGACCAGCATTCTGGACAACACCAGATCTTGCCGCCGCGCTCGTCACAATAATGATGGGCATTTTCGACCGCCAGCTATTCGTCGACACCTCGAACGTCACAGCTGCGATCGGGGCTCTCCTCGAGGCCGCGAGCCCCGCGCGCAAGTGCCGGAAGGTCGGCCGCGACGCCTTGGCCGCCGACTGGCGTCGACGGGAGCTGCGGGCCATGCCGCGGCGGCTTCCGATGCGGCAGCCCACATGCACCCCGCTCCTCCCAGTGCTGAACCACGTGGTTCCCCGACCGCAGCGACAACATTCGGTCGGTGCCATGGTGGCGCACCCAGCAGTTGCTGTCCCCCATGACCCCTGTGCGGTCGTATGCCCCACTGCGGTCATTGGCGGGCAGGTGGCTCACATCGCGGCGGGCGCCTCACCCCGGCGGCAAGCGGCCGTGCATCTTCGGCTGCGGGGGCTGCGCCGGCGACGCGCCCGCCTGTTTATTTGCCCAGGGCTCGTGCGTGGACTGGCGATGGCGCGCCCTGGCCAACGCATCTCTCTGGATGGTGAACCCGCTCATTCGACGGGGGACTGCGGGCCCCGAGGAGGGATGTCTCGACCTAACGAGCGCTTGCCTGACCTACTGCATCCGGCGGTCCAAAGATATGACTTCCATCCCTGAGCTCGAAGAGGCTGCCGGAGGCCCTCGAGCTCAAAGCTCTGTCGACGCCGACCCGAAGGGCGAGGGCGCGACCTGCGGCGACGACCCCAGCCGCTGCGCGCGCTGGGAGGGGGGCCAATGCGCGCCGAATGCCGACGCGGCCGCCGAAGTCCACCACATTTGCGAGTCGCGCCTCGCTCGGCACCCGCCCACGCCAGACTCTTCACCCAGCAGCTCAAGCACGCATTCACGGAGGAGGAGGAGGAGGAGGAGGAGAAGGAGGAGAAGGAGGAAAGCTCTGCTGACGACGATGCGTCTGGCATCGCGGCCCTTTGCATGATCGGCGCCGACCATGGCGCCGCCTGCAACGTCGACGGCCAGTCCGAAGACGTCCCCATCGGACGCCGCTTTGGCACCTGCTTCGCGGCTGGGCAGGCTCGGGCTGCCCTGCATCTTCGCGATGTCCCCCTGCGCGACCCGGCCGCGGCGGCCGCTGCGACCCAAGGCGCGACGCGGCAGCGACGGCGCGAACTGACGGAACGAGTGGCGAGTTGGGCACATAATTGGCCCCCGACGATTTATATCCGCGCGGGCGGGTCGGATTTCCAGCAGCGGCTGGACTGGGCGCGCCCCATGCGCCATGGACATCCTTCGCCGCGAAGGTTTCGAGCCCATCTTCGGGCTCGCACCTGGGGGCCTTGCAAGCGGGTTCGAACTCCCGACAGCGGGGCGCGCTTGCTCGGGACATCTGCGTGGCAGGGCGGCGTGGCTCAGCTATGTCTCGCGGGCGTCGTCGGCGGCGCCTGCTGGGCCCGTGGCCCGGCGACGAAGGCCGTCGCATGCAGGCGCTTCGCGCGAGGGCTTGCGAGCACCTCCGCCGGCTCTCTTGGGGCCCCGACGCGACGCGCATGAGGCGGGGCGGGCGCCGGGACCTCGCGCGCGCGAGGCCCGCCCAACCGCTGGCCCCGCCACTCCCGAGAGCACCGCTGCAAGCCCTGTTGCCCCACCTACTCGCCGACCTCTGTTCGGAGCAAGACACCCCAAAGTTTTGCGACCCTCTCGGGGCGGTGCCCTGGATCTACTCGCCAGGCGCGGGCCGCGCCGGCGTCGACCGCGACGACTGCCCGAAGCCGACGGAAGCAGGCCCGCGGGCGACGGGCGGCGACCGCGAGACCGCGCGCGCAGAGGAACTCGCCGAGATCGAGGGCGAGGCCCCCCTCCACGAAGGCGACGTCACGTCTGGCG